CCTGCACATTCTGCGGAGGGTGGGAACTGCAGGCTTGTGACTATTTGACACCAACAACTAGAGAAGGAGAACAATCTCATCCCACACGAGAAGCACTGCGGAATCAGCTGTCAGTGAGGTTTGGCAAAAGAAAAAGCCGAGCCCCGCTGCACATAAAATTATGTCAAGACGCGTGTCTGTGTACAGTCTGTCCCGTGAAGTCAGTTTTTTTCCCTCTGTTCGACGACGTGCGTGCCCTGCAAATCATGATGTTTAAAAAGGCTCAGGTCTACGAGACTACATCTCCCAGAACTCAAAGCGAGACTCCTCGACAGCCAGCAGAGTCACACCCCCCCTCGGATCTCGCTGGAGCAGGGAGCCGGTGCCGAGGGGAGCAGTAGGGTTGGTGTATTCGGGGAATCTGCATGCATGTACATACTGTAGTGTATCGGGCGCAACTCTTGAGATTGAAGACGAACCCGTATTAAGAAACAAATAAGCACCATTTGTTTTTTTCCACTGGCGCTATTGCTTTCTGCAGTCCGGCAGAATTCTCTGAGCCAGGAAAAAAAAAAAGAGACGTGGAGTTTGAACTTAATAGCAGCCGACAGCAATCAATGGTAAGTAGCCCTTCTCTCCCCGTTGATAAGATGCAAACTTTGCTTTATGAAGGGATTTAAAAAAAAATCGCATTTGTAACGAAACGGGTGGTTGCCATAGAAGCACTGATAAACCTGAACTCAAGTGGTTTGTCTTTTTTTTTTTTTACTACTGCTGCAGTCAGTACGGTAGGTGAGGCTGGGTTTTGCTTGGCAGCGGAGGTCTGTAGGAATTCGGTATCATAAGGACGAGGTGACTGTGATCATGGTGCCATTGGGGACGGTGTTGGCACCACTACACAACCGTGCAACCGTGCAATATAATCGGAAAAAAATAAACTGAGCACACGATGGGATACTGTTAGATCCTCCCCGAACCCAACTCCACACTAACCATTGATCCATATGTTTAGAAATGCACTTCTGTGGATAGTTTTGGCAACTTTTATCGGGTAATGGTACTTGGATTATGTACAGTGATTTCCATACTTCTCTACCTTTCTCTATTTGTGTGTTTTACTAATTAGGTAGCGGGTACTGTATTGGTGCAGAAAAACCCAGTTGCTAAGGCACCAAGTTCAGCAGCGGTGTGATGATTGGTGTATTAGAAACAGTCGCACGAATCTGGAGGAGAGGATTAGCTATACAACAGCGTGCTAGCAGCATCCTTCTGCCAAGACACTTTAGAAATAGTTTCGTTGAAAGAATGCATTTTCGTCAAATACTAATAGACGCGTTTAATCTATTTTTTTTTTTTGTCTTCCGTGTACATTTTCTTTCATGGCATTGGGTATTTCTGTTTCGGACTGAAACAACTTTTTTATTTCATGAGCGGAATTAAGCCAGTTTGCGTTTTTGTAAAGAACACGAGGAAAAGCATTTCATGGAAAACGTACAGTAAACAGAGGGTGAACGAGTGTCATGTGTTCGTGTTTGCTTTCTTTGCGTGTGATGTGCACAATCGTTTTTATCTCATTTCAGAATTTAAGCCCATATGTAATACTGAAAGCATCTTATTCTATATTCTATATTTTAGGATTCGTGCGTTGTTCATTTTTTGTCTAATCTCAAAACGATTGTCGTTTTTTAGAAACAATTGCAAATACTAGTGACACAATGTACAAGATCAAATCAAATGAAATTGCACAAAGTATGACAGGTTTTGAAATACAATACAATAAGAGACTAAGAAAACATTTGATGTAAGATTGACCCACATATTCTATAGGTTGTGCTCCCAAAAAGTGGCCAATTCTGAATTCTTATCCATTTCCCTGACTAATGTGTTTGGATCATACTGCATGTATGCTTTATTGTTTTATACCCTATATTTATCTATACATCCTCTTATATATTTATAGCTTTCCTAAACTGTCTAGGATAAGATGACAGTTATTTACCTAATCCTTCAATATGCCCTCCTTCATCACATTCAGTGCCATCCGCTGTATTCTAATCTATATCCAGATATAAGGTTTTATTTTGCTGATCTTTGTGCATCTAGAGTATCTTAGCAGGGGGTAAAAGTCATTTACCATGTTTTTTCTTTTCCCACACATATTTCATTTGGAAATGAATTCAATATTTACAATTTTCTAGCTTTAGACATACATGATATACAGTATATATCTTTGTTCTCAACCGGGTACTGTGTCTTGTTACAAAATGGAAGTGAAAACAAGCTACAGAAGTAAAACAGCCCAAAACTGATAGATCTACCTGAATAGTAGACACAACATGAATACAACCCAATGCCCCTTGCATGGCAAGCCATGCAGACACGATTCCTGTACTTACTAAGGGCAAGTTCTCCAATCTAAGTTTACTTTCAGTCACATGTTTCTGCAAGAGAAACATTTGTTCTTTCAATCTGAGGTAGCAGAGATAAACTGATAAAAACAGTATATTCTAGCTTTTCCTTTAAAACAGGGGGCTGTTGGTTGGTCCTGTTTAAGTGCATCTGGCTTATAAAACAGTAGTTGAAAAGAAATGTTTTGTAATAAGATAAAAAAATAATAAGCTTTGGAGATCTCTAGTGCTATTTTACGTGCTGACTGTCTCTTTACTGTTCTTGATTTTGTATATTTGCATACACTGTGATTTTGTAATACCATAATCTTTGTGATATTGTTACCAATAAATATTTTGAGTTAGTGCATTGGTGTCCAAATCTTGCCCCTAAGTCCCCGAATCCAGGGAATGCTGAGAAAAATGCTAACGATGATGAATTTGACTTAAGTAATGTAATTCAGTGGATTATGTCAAAAGACCTCTACTGGTACGAAAAACAGATGACACTGTTGCCCCTGGGGATTGAATTTAGGCACCACAGAGCTACTGGCCTCTGGCACTGATTACTTACAGCTTTTTAGGACTGATGTTTATTGACGAAGATGATGTACTGGAAGTACATTAGTCCATGGATGCGATCAGTTCATGCATTTTTCTTTTAAATTTAGGAATATATGTAACTAGGAAGGAGGCTTTTGAAAAGCAGGGTAGGCACTCCCTCCAAGTGTGTTTTCTTCCGGTTGAGTTCAATGGCCAAGATGTCATGGGTATGAGTCCATGGCGTTAGCCAGTTGTGATTAGGATTCCCCAAGTGGTGGGGTAAAACCAGTAGGATGCCACTAGGGTAGGGCTTGGATTGGTAAAATGCCCTAGGGCAGGGCTTGTATTGGTAGGACGCCACTAGGGCAGGGCTTGGATTGGTAGGACGCCACTAGGGCAGGACTTGGGTTGGTAGGACACCACTAGGGTAGGGCTTGGGTTGGTAGGACGCCACTTGGGCAGGACTTGGGTTGGTAGGACACCACTAGGGTAGGGCTTGGATTGGTAGGACGCCACTAGGGCAGGGCTTGGATTGGTTGTCCAGAACTATGTTCTCCTGTGACTTGCCAAGCACCTGCAGGCTTGGGTCCTCCAGTTGGCAGTAACTCCTCTGCAGGGAGCTGTAAAACTTGCAGTCAGTCTAAGGATGAATGTCTGGGTCTGAGGAGGGCCAAGGTGTGCTGGGTCATCCTCAATCTTCCTGTGTAACTCAAGATTAATTGTTATGAACTGAAATAAACAGAAAAACTGTTCGTTTATAAAGGGGAAGTAAAAAAAAAAAAAATGAAAAACTTTTTTGAAGGCTGTTGTAACCAGTTAGCCGTGCTGTAAAACTTGAAAACCTGATATTTTTTTGTTTAATATATTTACAACTTGAGTTCCAGAATGCAGCAAAGCAAAGAGAACATGTGAATGCAACATTATTATGGAAGTGCTAGGATTTATTGGTAATATTTAAATATTTATGATATGGTGCTGCTCAGTGTCTCTTTGAGAAAATCTAACAAAACAAACAGCTCCAAAATATTTGTTTTCAGTTTGTCTGTTTGCCTCTGTGTTGAAGGTGTCTCCCGCTGGAAAGAGTTACAAGCTAATAAAAAATAGCAAAGCCAACAAAAACACCCAGTTAACCTTTAGAGCAGTGCTGTCTTTGAAAACAAAGGAGCAGCAGTCAATACAAATTCCATCATTATCCAGTGTACCTTGTATTTGTAGCAGTAGGACACATGTTCATTGTGAAGTTATTTCTGGAAGATTGTCCTGCATTTTGAATAATGCTTGCTAAGCACAGAGGTTGTGTTACTTTGGGTGGTGCTGCTAATCCACCCTTTTTATCTTTAACATTTTTAAGTAAATAGAATTGTATTAATCAGCTGCAGAAGGCTGCTGTTTTTGGTGCTTGAGGCACTGTGAGAACTCTGGGTCTTGACAGGGTTGACTGATGCTATTTGCGTTATGGTCTTTTCACGGGTTGTTATCTTCGCATTTTCCTTTGGTTTTTCACGCCTATCAGGTCACTATGAAGTCCAATGCGAGTCACATGTAGTAATAACACAGTGTGTTTGAAATGCAAATAACAGAATGCAGCGCTTCAAAACTTGTCAGCCATTGCAGCAGTGAGAAAATGAAGTGCTGGACTGAACAGAAAGAAAGCACTTAGCAGACTCGTCTGTTTGTGCTAGGAGTCATGGGATTTATTATTTCCTTCCATAACTCTTTCTTGTTGTCAGGCTTGTGAAGCAGCTCCCACTGCTTAAAATAAATGAGACACAGTGGGGGACGAAGGTTACAGGGTAGGCTACACTAAAGGTCTTGGATCTGGGATTTGATGGATGGGGTCATGTGTTCGTTTCCAAGCAGTTTTCTAAATCTGGGCTGCAGACGTCAAGATTAAGGAGATAATCAAACATACAGTGCTCCCCTAGAACGCAGGTGAAATGTAAAAGGTACTAGAATTTAAAACAGTTGTAGCCTCTGGGAGTAGATTCTGTAGATATTCAGGACTGACTTGTTAGCAGCTCTTTGTCCTGATCGAGTTGTTGAGTGGGAGAGTTTGGCCGTGAACGTTTCACAGATCAGTGACGAAGGACAACAGCTGACTCTTGTGTGGAGATTTTCTGCACAGTGCCCTGCCTGTCATATTGGAATGAGCTGCCCTGACACGGAGATAAAAGAACTGCAATTCAACACCGCCAAAAAATGGGGCTCAGCCTTGTGCGCCATGCAGAGCCTAAGGCAGATGATTCGTGCAGAGGGCAGCTACTGTAGCTACAGATTTGTGCAGAAAGCTATTATTTACGGCATAATAATTGGTACCTGGCATCTGAAAACAAGGTGGATCATCAACACAGAGCAGTAAACATGTTCAACTATTACTTATTTCTCACACCCCATGGGAATAGATGCAGGTGGCCAGAAACCCTTGGTTTCAGTGCCTTTGGCATCAGCTGTAGATCATAGCCCAGCGAGAACAGGGGAACATCAAACCCTTCTGCAGTTTACTGGTGTTGCTGTGAATGACTTGTGTGCTAACGCCATATCACGGGTTGCCAGATGTACTCTTGTGATTTTGGTCATTTGCGTAAGTCTTGGGAGACACATGCCCTTAAAGATGACTCTGAAGTGTTATGATTGTCACATTCAGCCGACAGATGTCATGGGCGCTTGCAGTAGTAAAAGTGCGATCTGGA